CAAAGGCGCAGGACTCCCGGGTGCAGGGCGGCGCAGACAAAGGCGCGGCCAGGCAGCTGCCCTCTTCCTCCTGCCGGTGCCAGGTCTGAGGCTGCGGGGCTGCCTCGCTTCTCCAAACAGCCCACCTGCCTTCTCCGGGCCCTGCAGTACTCATTACGCCCCACGCTGGGGGACCCCCCCAAAATATGCGCGCACACTGAAGCCTGGACTCACCCTCCCAACACACACACGGACCCCAGCACTTCACACACACGTGTGCACACGCAGACACATAGGAACACTCTGTGCACTGGCCCCACAACCAACCCTCCCTGCCCATTCGCCTGTTCAGACACCCCCTCTGCTCCCTCACGTTGACACATGGCACAGGGACATATCTACACATGTGTGCCCAGGAAGGCCTCCTGGCCATGTGCGCCCACACTCACACCCATGCACACTCACACAGGATATAACACACAAGCAGATCTTCACGAGTGCCCTTCAGGCCACATGGGCCCTGCGCACCCAAACATGCCCAGGCAGGCAGGCCCACCGGATGGGAATGACCAGCAGTCCTCACCTCTGCACACACAGAAGGGCCAGTTTCCAGCTGTCTATACTCCACAGCATCCCGTGTTGTAAAGGCCATTTCACTGAGGAAATCCAGACTGCTCTGCATCATCCCGGCTCCAACTCAGACCTCCTGCCTTCTGGTCTCTGTCTCTCTCCCTATCTCTCATGCAGAATTTCTATACATGAGGGTCTGCCAGACAGCAGTCCAGTGGCAGCGGGGTACTGGAGCCTTGTCTTAAAGCCTCATTTGCCCAGCACACTCTGTTTTGATTTAGGATTTATGTTTTGGGAGATTTGGAAATGAGGGTCATAAGGACACAGTGGAGGGCCCAAACCCCATCAAGCCACACCCATGCTCCACCCCAGACATAGTCACCATCGCCCATGTGTGGAGTGAGCTTTTGGCTATGACCGGGTGTCAGCCCCTTCTGGTGAGCAAGGAGAGAAGCTTCGCTCATTTCTGAGCTGCCCTCCCAGGCCTGTAGCTGAGGACAGAGCAGGGAAGAGCCTTCCGTGCTCCCCCATGGGATGAAGTCACCCCACTTGCCTCCCACGTTGGCTCCACTATTATGGCCTCAGGCAGATCAGAACTGAGTTCCCGAGTCAGGAAATTCAGGAAATCTGGAAGGAGAATGGGCTTGAGATGTCCCCCTGCCTGAAAGAGGAAAGAGGGCAGGGGAGCAGAGCTTGGGGCACACTGGGTGGGTAGGGCCTGGCAGCCAGGAATGAGGTGGACCAGGCAGGGGATGGCGGTCTCTCAGCTGGAGAAGAGGCCTCAAGCCATGTTGAGCAAGACAGGTAGGGCATGGGAGCTGGGGAGCAGCGGGGGGCCCTGGGGGTGCAGGGAGTCTGGGCAGGAGGCCGCGCAGGGAGGCCAGGCTGGGCTCAGGGCTGAGCGGTAATTAAAGGAGACGCAGGGGGCTCCCCAGGGCCAGCAGGGCTGGTAACTGACACGCGGGCCCCATTGCTCCGCTCATATTTCTCACCGGATCGATACGTTTGACTCCCGACAAGACAATAATCGCTTGTACGCGGCCGGCGAGTCGATCAAATACATTATTAGAGCGAGGTCCCCTGGGGGCCTGGCGGGGAGTGGTGGGGGGAGCAGCCAGCCCACCGGGGACAGCAGAGCAGGATTCTTCACCCCTCAGGGCCCCCAGCCATGGCTTCTTCCTCTCAGCCGCCCCTGGGGACCTGTCTGCCGCTCGGTTCCCCAGCCTCTTTCTGGATGCTGCTGTGGTCTGGCAACATCTCCACTGAGTCCCTGGCTGTGTCTCAATGCTGTGTGGGGACCCAAGGGGTCTTTCCCCGGTAACTGCTGCCTAATCTGTAGGCCAGTAGTGTGTGGGAGCTCAGAGGCCCCTCAGACCCCCAGCTGGGCAACAGAAAGGGAGACTGGGTTGCAGGCCACGCTGTGAGTCGATGGCTGAGCTAGAAGATGAACTCAGCCTAAGACTCATTGACACCAACCTCCCAGGACATCTGTCTTCAGCAGAGCTCAGGCCAGGGCAGTCTCTGGGGGGACAGGGAAAGCTGGCTTGGGGACCTAAACACATGGGAAAACAGGATGAGGGTGGCAGACAGACACACAGACAAAGGGATATCTCGCTGGTCCTGCCTGCTACATGGCCATGCAATCCTCCAATGGGCCTCCAATACTCTCAAATCAAACCCAGCCTGGCCCGCCCTGGGCACTGCTTGCCCACCTCTTCCCCACCCTCCTGGCTTCTGGGCTCAAGCCTTCATTTCTTGTTTGTACACCTGCTTCACCCTTGGGCCTGCCCTCAGAATGGCTTCTCCAGTGGCCCTAAGTCAAGGTCAAGCAGTATCCTCCCCATGTTCTGCTTAGGAGCACCCGGCCTCCAGGGACTTGAAACATTTCAGTAGCAGCAGCACAGTCTGTTCTGTGCTAATTGAGCCAATACTTTATTTCTAACCTTCACGACAGTCTCAGGAGATAAGGTCTGTTATCATCCCTTTTCTGCTGGTGAATTGGATCTCAGAGAGGTGAAGTCACTGGCCCCATGTCACACAGCATGTGAGTGGTGGAGCAGTATTCAAACTAAACCTATCCTCATAGCTTGCTCTTTCTCTACTCCTCCATGGGCCTCCTTAGAGCTTTGAAATGCTCCCTATCCTCCAGTGGACAGCAGAAAGCCATTCCCTGTCCACTCAGGGACACCAGAATCTCCTCACAGCCCACAGCCCAACCCCCACAGCCCTTAGAGTCTATTTTTGATACTCAGCAATGCACTGGATTCTCTCTGTTGAAGGAACCCATCAGTTCCCCATTTCCTTCAGTTCAAACATTTCCTATGTGTCTCTTAGTGACAAGCCCTGGGCTGGAGGCTGAGGACCCAGAGACAAGCTTGAACCTGCCTCAGGAGCTCACGATCCAAGGGGAAGACTGGAGTTGATGAAATACCCTGATATTCCATCACTGAGTCAGTAAGTATCCGATAAACGCTATTATGTGCCAGGCCGTTGCTAAGCTCAGAGAATGCAGTGGTTAAAAGCAAAACAATCAGTTATACTTCAGTA